TGGAAACTAAGGATGGGTGTGGCGGTTTAATTCTTCTCTTACACTGTGGGTGCATGGCCTGCATGGCGTTTGGGGATAATTTGCTTTACGGTTGAAATTACGATTCGGATGACCTTGGCGTCATACATTCTCTAGCAACTAGGTATTTACATACTACGACTCAATCAATATCGGCTCTGCCATATTTGCTTCATACAATCCACATAATGTGTCTGCCTTAGCTTCTTAATCTCTTCACATGTATCGAATCTCGTAGCTGTAGAATTTTCGTTGCCACAACCCAAAATTTGGCGGCGACACAGTCACCCAGAGCAATAGGTGGCAAGGCCGAAGTGAAGCCTAATCCAGATGTTTGTTCACGTGACCACGACCATGGATCTGCCTTATCGTTAAAACGGCGAGAGCTAATCTTCAACCCACACTTTTGATGATATCACCAACAAACGACAACATCGCCGTTAAAGAACGCTCCGTGGTTTCGAAGAGACTGAGATATGTGATGAAAAGTCGGGATGCCCTCCTACTTCTATCATATTTCGTTACAAGTCCTTCCAGAAGCACCAGAATTGTGCGCTGACCCATCGCGATTAAATGCCACTTCCGCATCCAAGCTTTCCCCAGCTGTCGCACGCGTTTGTGAAGCTTTGAGTCCCTTCAAACAACCCCACGGCAAGACCGCAAACGGTGGGGGAGGAAGCCGTAAGAGTCAGAATAATAAGAGCAATAATAATAAGAGTGATAGGATCTCTGAGTTTTCAGATCCCAATTGGATTGGCAACACTACCACATCCGCAGCTTCTAGGAATTATAACACCTCCCTTCAATGTCCGGCTTCAGAAAAGCCAGCATTCGCAGAAGGAACACACACCCACCACCACCTCAACTCAGCTACGCGCATATCTACGACTACGTCTGACCTTTTGAATGATCAGCGGTTCTCGAGCATCTCTGTCGAAAGTATCGATATGGTGCTTCCCCACGAACGAGGGGTTGCACCGCAGCAGCAGCCGAGTCGGGATGATAATAGCGACACACCGGAAAGTGAGAGGAATAATATAACGAAGGGGATAGGAGATGATGCGCTTGCGAGTCTTGCGACCAAGGGGAAATATGTTCCGCTAGATCATAAGACGTCGGAGAGTATTTGGGGGGTTGTTCACCTCTATCGTGATGCGGAGGATACACCTTCGTTGCATGATCAGAGTGATTTGCGGTACTCGTTGGCGAGGCATGCGAGTTTGCAACTTGATGCTGGGGGGAGTGCGAGTAGTAGTGATGGGGGCAGACAGCTTGCGTATAGGGGTGCTGGGAATGGTGGTTCTCGTGGTCGTGAGGCTGGTGGGGAACAGGTCCCGCCTCAGGACTGTACCATGCTCTGTATCCTCGCGGTGCCGTTGTACCTTTCTCCACCGGATTTTTTGGCGATTGTAGGCGAGGAGACAAGGGATGCGGTTAGTCATTTTCGAATGATTAGGACGTCGAGGGCGAATCGGTATATGGTTTTGATGAAGTTTCGGAGCGGGACAAAAGCGAGGGAATGGCAGAAGGAGTGGAATGGGAAGGTTGTTAACAGCCTAGGGGTGAGTTTAGGTCTTTTCTACGCGTTCAGTTCTTTGGTTTTTTTTTATCTATGGCTGGTGCTGACTCTCGCAACAGCTTGAATCATATCATGTAGTTTTTGTCAAGTCGATCGATATCCAAGCTTCGACCACGACAGCTGGGAGCAGCTTTCCAGATGTCAATAATAACCCCTTTACTCCTTCAACGGCAACGTCAACCTCGCGCGGAACGCCCAGTGGGTATTTCCCTGCAGTTTCCCTCACCACCAAACCGATACCTCCTCGTACACCTGCGCTCGTCGAACTGCCAACTTGTCCAGTATGTCTTGAGCGGATGGATGAGACAACCGGTTTATTTACGATAATGTGCCAGCATGTTTTCCATTGCAAGTGTCTCCAAAGATGGAAAGGATGTGGGTGTCCCGTATGCCGGTTTACACATGATGGCCCGGACAAGTTGGATGAAGGACCAGCGGAGTGTAATGTTTGCCATTCGGAAGTTAATCTATGGGTGTGCTTACTATGTGGGAATGTCGGATGTGGGCGATATGACGAGGCGCATGCCTTCGCCCACCACCAGGAGACAGGCCACGCCTTCGCCATGGATATTGCGACTCAGCGTGTCTGGGACTATGTCGGTGATGGATACGTCCACCGCATCATCCAGAACAAAGCAGATGGCAAACTCGTCGAGTTACCCGCCGCAGATAGCAGTGCCTTAGATCCACCCGATTGGGCAGATGCCGTTCCTCGCGAGAAGTTCGAGAACATGGCTCTCGAATACACTCATCTACTCACCAGCCAATTGGAAAGTCAACGCACCTACTTCGAAGAGAAAGTCGAGAGATCTGCGGACAAAGCGTCGCAAGCAAGTGCCGCTGCCCTATCCGCACAGGAAGCAGTCGAGTCAATTACATCCCGCTTCACAGACCTCCAAACCAAACACGACGAGCTCGCCAACGAGACGATTCCCAACCTCGAACGCGGCAAAGCTCGCGCCGACCGCCGCGCCGACAAGTTCGAGACCATGTCCCGCAAACTAGAGAAAGAATGGCGAGAAGAGAAAGCCATGAATGAGAATCTGAGGGAGAGGGTGGATTTGCTGCAGACGGAGGTCCAGACCTTGAAGGCGGCAAATGAGGATCTTACGGAGCAGAATAGGGATTTGACGTTTTTTATCAGCAGTTCGGAGAAGTTGAAGGATCAGGGGGAGGATGTGGTTGAGGGGACGGTTAGTGTGCCTGAGCAGAGCGCCTCAGGTGGTGGGGGTGGGGGGAAGAAGAAGAGGAAAGGGAAGGGGAAAGGGAAGGGGTGAAGGGATTCGTTCGTTGAATGAATGGGTGGGTGCCCTTGCAAATTGGAATTTGAACCGCGGGTTCATCGGAAGTGATTGGAACGCAACGCCCTCACACGGGCACATGGGTGAGAAGATAGAAACTATTTTTATATCTTCCGTCGCCAATGCCTAGAACGTGATGGATGCGTTATGGATCAAAGGATGAAGGTATGTCTTCTTGGGAATCACATCGCTTAGAATAAAGCAGCTTGTAGCTTTCTCTCCTGGACCACATTCTGACATCCGAACCCCTTGCAGTGAACACGAGATAGGCAACCCGACCTTAAAGGGAAGGGAATACTCGGATGGTGACGTCAAGACTAGTCACAATGAACATGTAGGATTATGAAACGGGGTATAGTCGATTAGGGGGGAAGCGGAAATCGGCGATAGAGAACAGGAATAGGGAGAAGAACAGGACCGAACACATAGTAGGTTCAAGTCCAAACCTTCATAGAAGAAATAAATAAAATTCGAAATAAGTAGTAGATTCAAACTCCACTCCGAACCCCCTCTCCCACCCATTGCACGTAGACGATGGAATAAAGCATCGCTTCTGCACCCAGCACGTTCCCGCCAAGCCCAGGACAGACAGACAGACAGAACAAAATGGGGAACCATAATAAGCACGCGAGCAAAAACAAGCTTCGTTTGTATGTCACTCGCGAGATGCTTTTGCATGCATGTCCGTATCCGTCTCCAATGTGATTGATATCTTCCGAGAAACTCCCATTCGCGAGAAGGGGGTGGGTGGGTGCAGGTCAAGCATTTTTGGTTTCTTTTCCGATTGACTGACTGACTGACGGGAGGAGGCAGTGCTGCGCTGCGCTGCGTGGGCATCGGAGATGGTCAACTACGAAGCGAGTGAGTACCCGAGTTCCTTCTCCCTTCCGGAGGCGAAGGTCTTGGCATCGGTTATTATATGACATCATCAAAGAAAGAAAAAACGAGGCTCGGCGGGCAATGGATATTGATAAGAAGGAATCAATCACTCAGCCGCCGCCTCCCTCGGAAGTATCGGAAATAAATGTGCCCCTTTTTGTTTTATTTTCGCCTTCTCGCTTCCCAGCCCTGCCTGGGAAGAGAGAGGTTCCGGGACCGAGGGAAGGGAAGGGGAGGGGAGGGTTTTCTGGTTTTGCCAAGTCCTTGGCACAGGAAGGAATACTTGGCGCCAAGGACTTTTTAGTTATCATGAATCATGCATGCATCCCTGCCAGGTATTTTCTTTCTTTTTGTCTGACACGTTTTTTCTCCATGGCTGTTCTTGGCTTGAGTTGAACTTGCCTGTGGGGTTTAACCGAGGAGGCGCCTTTTGGCGGTATTCTCCGACAGGAAGAGTTTAAGACTGGGGCGGGAGGAGGCTTGGTACTTTCCCTTTTTTTGGGTCTTGGAGGGGAGGGAGAAATTGCGTGATTGCGCTCTTGGCGGTTGCGGAGTGGAAAGTGGATACCCTATTTTTTCTTTGTTTGGGATGGGAGGGGAGGCTTGGCGGTGGGGAGGAAAGGATTTGGGGGAGGGAGGCTCGAGACGAGACGAGTGCCAGTGGTGGTGTTGACGTTTGAGTCTCCCGAATAATTGAGAAACTGGGAACCGGAGTGTTTATCATGTCTTCTTCCCTTCTCATTACATACTAAAATTATGTGTAGTTTACCTCATACGTGACCCAGGATTGGGTCAGGAAGTTCCGTTGAGAAATGTCTGTACCCAACCTCCCTCTCTCTCCCTTCCGTCGGGCTGCGAAAGGAGCGGTGTAACGTTTTTGTTTCGTGATTCCGTTGAATCCCTTCAAAATATACACTCTGGCCATCCTTCTGTACCTCTGTCGAACGTTGTAAAGTGGTCTGGACCACAGTCTTTTTTGATCAGATCTTCTTCTTCCCCACGATTTGAGGGTGTTGTTCGCTTTACCTGATCCTGGTTTAGTGCGGTGCCGCCTGGTCGACTATGTGTGTCCCACTCCGTCTGTGCAAAATGCCGATGTCGACGAGGAGTTGACGGAACAACAAGGCATTTGATTTCTCCCCCCTCAACGCTGCCGATTAAGCCTTTTCGTGAGGAAATTGTAAATAGATATCAAAAGAAGAGGTGAAGAAAAAAAAAGTAAGCGACACCAGTCGGATTCGAACCCTTTGACGTATGTTAGCAAAAGTTTTGAGCGTCCTTTGATAATCAGGTCCACTTACGACGCCCCCGAAGAGAATTGATTTCGAGTCAATCGCCTTAGACCACTCGGCCATAGTGTCTTAACTCTAAATTTAGAAAAAAATTACTATATCTCGTTCACCACCACTCGAGAGAGAAATTAACTACAAGTAAAGACAATGACCGTGAACCGACCATTGCCCACTCTTATGAGATTCATTATCAAACGATTGAGAGAAGCTATTTTTATGCTTGAGAAGCAATACTCAAAGAATCCCGACAAGGTATCTTTACGAGAGAAGAATGCGCTTGAATCAAGTAGCGAAGATATCGAAGCCATTATTATTTTGATGTGCTTAATTGATGTGCTTCCCTTGAACGACAACCCTTCGAATCAATCGGCCTCTAGGGACTCTTCTTCGTGTCTGAATAATGAGTTTGGCGGGACCATGGATACGATGTAACAGCAGAGCGTCCATAGTACATGATATCTGTCGCTTTGTTTCCTGTTGTGCAGCAAATAGGAGTGGGGGAGGATGTTGATACAAGATCGATAGTCGGAATACCTATATCCAGTTAGATTCTGTGGAAGAGGGACTCTGGTACTTGCAGTAGTGGCATCTCGTCGTTTGCTTGTCCCCCTCCCCCCCCTTCTCCGCCATCTCGATCAAATTGCCGGTCCGGGATCCTGTGGTCATAGCCGATATGATCCATCTCATCCCAGAGATCCAATTGGGGCAAACGGCCACAAACGAACGGCATCGGCATCGAGAACATTCAAGAAAGGACCGAAGATGACCACACCCCCATGTATTACAAAGAGGACCGAATTTATTCCGCGCGGGGGTTGATAAGCAGCGGGGACAACGTGCGTCCTTCGCATGCAAGGCCAAGCATTTTGTGACATCCTTGCCAGCACATGACCAGGCGAGAAAGAAGAGAAGTCCAGGATCCAATTAGATGATGTTTTCGTATCCGGTGCGAGGGCTCCACAATTCGGATACCCCTCCCCCACCCCGGTCGCAATGCTGCCCTCTGGTTGGGTTGAGGTCACACCACCCCATCCTGGTTCGCCTTGGAGGGTGTTGTTGACACGCGTGCAGTCTGACAATCTGAGCGGAAAAAGGTGACAAGAGGGAGAGCGGTTCTTGGCGAGCGGGGCCCAGCCATTTGTAATTTTTCTGGAAGCTTGGCAGGGCGGACAGGTGGAGTGAGGGCAATTGTCGGCAGATGTCATGATGGCGGAACTTCCCCCATGGGGGGCGATTGCTCGCCCAATTTTGGTTTCCTGAGGCGTTGGGAATTCCGTTCCTCCCCACGGTCCTTGGACAGGAGGGAATAACCAAGGGACCCGCAGTAGCCGCAATGGAGGAAGTCTCTAGACGCTTCACGAGCGACTGGCGTTTCTTAGCGTACTTATTATGCATCACGTGCAACAAGGATGGTGGGTCTAGGCGGTGAACTGCACTCAAAGCGCCGACAGGATTTTGCCACACCTTATATCGCCCAATGAGAAGCACGAACCATCACCGATATCTGAAAATTCTGCCGTACCACGCCTTCATGTCGTCGAGATATCAAACTGTGAGGTGGGGAGTCACCGAATCCGTGGGGTGAGATTTCCTCCCTGACCGGCTCGTGATGACTCTGAAAGAAGTGCATAATGGACTTCGATCTTTTGGAGTCTGTCCGCTTTTTCCTGTTCTCAACTGCGTGCGCGACTCTGCTCGGGTACTTGTTTGGCGTCTTGTTGGCACGTTTTCGCTTGCTGATTGGGTTCTCCAACACGAACCTTGTCTTTTCCTTCCATGGTTGTGCCTTTCAGGCGGCGATGCAGTTAGACCGAAAGTGTCATGGTTGCACATCCAAAACCCAAAACGATCCAGAACCATGACCTAGACGTCATACTGAGGACGACATGGGAAGCTCCAAGGCGGAGCCCATTACTTCACCCAAGGGGACAATAGTGTCTCTTCGATTACCCTGAACTCGCAGAGGGCAAGTTCATGTCGTTTTCCCTCTTTCCTCTTGACCTTTCTCCTGCCGGTATAGTTGCCGCGATGTCTCTCCTCAGGGAGTCCCAAACATGGAGTCCGGAGTCTGACATCCAGAGAAACGACCCGCACCTTTTCCCTGGGCTGCCAAGAACCTAAACCCGTTTCCATTCCGGAGTTCCTCAGCGAATAATCGTCCCCGAAAACACGCTTGGGCCGGCCAAGAGGGGGTGGGTCCCGCCAAGTTGGGAGGGGCAAATTATGATGTCGTCTCGCTTCTCATCCTGTGCTTCCTTCCTTGGGATGCGTAGGGATTCGGGGAAGAAACAAAAACTTTCGGAACCATGCATCACGATGAGGGATTGATCTTGGGCCCTATATATATAGGTCGTCCTCCCCCCGATCCAAAGTCATATCTAGGCATTGTTTCTTCTTTCAAGATTAGCTTCGACCTTGGCGGAAGATCTAACTGTACATACCCTTTCATATATCCTCTCCCTTCTAGATCCATTGTTCGGATAGGAATCTCAGGTTTGGGTAAATCATATCACCTTCTTAGACACGGTGAATAGAGGCATAGATCAAGTCTGAGTCTGTTTCTTTCTTGTTGTCTTGCTCCTGCTTTATCAGAACGGGAAGTGGACGCTAGTCTCATTCTGGTCACTTTCCTCCCGGTCCGACTTTACGCCTAATCATAAGTTCTCACCCCGCTCCCTATCATAACAACTCCTCCTCCCTCGCGTTGAGGAACAACAAACAACACCCTCATCGATCCTTTCATCCCTTCGTGCATATGTTCGTTTGGATTGAATCCGTTCAAGCAGTATTCCACCCTCCCTATCCACATCTTGATCAGGCCCCACAAAGCGGCTTGAATCCCTCCACTCAGTCAGAAACCCGTCCTACCTCCCCCAAAGCTCCTCGCACCGCTACCGTCAAAGAGAGAGAGTAAACAACCCCTGACCCGCGATGGGGAAGAAAAGTACGAGGCAGTCTCAGGAGTATGGGACACACCCATTCCTGATGACCGTCGATGAGACGGCACAGAAATTGGAGACCAGCGTCGAAACTGGCCTTAGGGGGGACGCGAAAGTGAACGAGCTTCAGCAGAAGTATGGCCCCAACGCTTTGGAAGGCGAAGGTGGCGTCAAATGGTATGCGCTTCTGGGTAAACAGATATCGAATGCAATGATTATGGTGCGTCCTATTTCCATATTACTCTTGTCCCAGTCCCCATGTTATCATGATCCCGAGTCCCTCCAAGTGCAGAATGCCCAGGAATCAGCGAGCTGCCACTCGCCGAACCCTATTACCCCTTTTACCCCACTCTCTTCCTCTACGCGTTTCCTTGCACCATTTTCGTACTATGTCTAGGCCTCGATCTGTTTCTTATTCTGGCTACCAGCTGGAGCTCATGGTGTGACGATGCGTCATTGCGTGGCTTGATGGGCTATTAGATGGCTGTCTGGGTGGTGTTTTGGTCGTCTACTTTGTAGGGGATACTTCGCCCTTGGGTTTTGGCTGCCTCGTCTAATCAACTACAACTTGAATGCCTTAACACTTCCTCCTCATTGTTTCTTATGTCCCTGAGTTGTGATATCAAGAACCCTAAGAACTAGGCAAATGCCCTCTTATGTCTTTCACTATCATAATCACCGAAGTCGTGAAAACAACACCACTTCCCCGTTTCATCTTATTGTTAAACTAGATAAGTCATTAACATCGATTATGTGAACAGGTTCTTGTTTTAGCCATGGCTCTCGCATATGGTGTCTCGGATTATATCGAAGGCGGTGTCATCACAGCTGTTATCGTTCTCAATGTCCTCATCGGTTTCTATCAGGAATTCAAGGCTGAGCAGAAGATGGAAAGTCTTCGATCCCTTTCCTCTCCTTCCGCTACCGTCATTCGAGATGGGAAAGAAGACACCATTCCCTCCGGAGAAGTTGTTCCAGGCGATATCGTTCAAATCAAGACCGGGGACACAATCCCAGCAGATCTCAGGCTTTTCGAAGCCATGAATCTCGAGTGTGATGAAAAGATTCTAACTGGCGAGGCTATCCCCGTTGCCAAAGATGTTGATTTCGATCCAATCAAGAGGGATCCTACCGAAACAGGTGTGGGTGACCGTCTTAACATGGCTTACTCCTCTTCGAGCATCACAAAGGGTCGTGGCCGCGGAATTGTTGTCTATACCGGAATGTACACCGAAATCGGAAAGATCGCACAGTCCATGCAGGGAAAGAAGCGCAAGGAAGGCCGTTCCATGTCTCGCAAGAAGCACGGAAACTTTCAACCCGTCAAGGGTGGTGCTCTACGCGTCTGGGATGGAATTGGCAAGTTTCTTGGGCTTACCGAAGGCACACCACTGCAGATCAAGCTTAGCAAGCTGGCTTACACCCTCTTTGGCTGTGCTTTACTTCTGGCCATTATTGTGTTTGGTGTCAACAGATTCAATGTTACTAACGAGGTAGCAATTTACGCAATCTCTACTGGTAGGTTTATATCACCCTCTTCGCAAAGAAATTACAGATAAATTTGCTAACACCCACTAGGTATTGCTATTATCCCCGAGTCCCTTATCGCAGTCCTTACCATCACAATGGTTGTTGGGATGACTCAGATGCGGAAACGTCGTGTGGTTGTCCGCCAGCTCAGTGCTCTCGAAGCACTTGGTGGTGTGACTAATATTTGCTCTGATAAAACTGGAACTTTGACCCAGGGGCAGATGGTCACTCGAAAGGCATGGGTCCCCGGAGTCGGAATCTACAGTGTCAATAAGTCGGACGATGCAACAAACCCAACCCGTGGCACCATCAGTCTTGACGAGTCCCCAGCAACAAAGCGTGAGGCCGAGGAAGAGCGTGAAAGGAAGCGTGCAGAACAGGATCGCCTTCGTAGTACTGCTGGTCTTAAGTTTGATGTTCCAGCTGAGAAGCAGGAACGGGATCAAAGGAAAGCCGAAGAAATACGAAATGAAAAGGCCGAGGAATCCGATGATAGCGGAAGTGGAGGACCTATTCCCGAGGTTGTTCCTGAACTTGAATCCTTCCTCCATTCCGCCTCTCTTTGCAATCTCGCAACTGTTCGCCATGACGAAGAAACCG